CAACCATTTTAGCGTTTTGAACCGTTTCAAAAAAAAAATCAAAAAAACAGCGCCTTCACGCAAGCTGCACCAGGCCCAGCAACCACATGGAACTAGCAAGCTTGCGATTTGTTGTTTCTCTGTGGGGGACTATACATGTCGTATATTAAAAAAGGATACAGTGTGTAATCCATCCACTCCATTAAAGAAACTGGTGTTATATATATAAGAATTTTTGCGTAAACGAATTACATACCATATTTCAAATTTGTTAATCATACAGGATATGGTGAGTCACGTGTATGTATCCATCATAAACGTAATTGTCGTATATAATGGATTTCACACATTATCAATACACTTGCAGTTGTATTAGTTGTGAATCATTTTTGTTTACATCTACGCATGCGTTGTATTGTGTATGATACATATATAAACGAATGTCATAAACAACGCCAACATATGTTTACATCCATATATATACTAAACCATAAGGTTTACCATCATTGTTCTAATATCCATTATTTTAATTCATCATATATATATATACACCGCGTCATAACATACCTTTTTGTAAATACTGCGTATAGTACATTATGTTCAATCGCCGTACTTTTGTGTTAAAGTTACATACGCATGATATACATGTACCTATAGTTGATGTGCAACGATTATTATTCTATGTTCACTCCTGTAGAACGCATAATATCAAATGTATTGCAACAACACGCGTAATTTGTTATATACATATCATATTCATTGTGTGCTATTGTGTATTACATATACAATAGTTGACCGGGGTTCGTGTATATCTATGCACATACCAATTATAACTTACATCTACAGACGCACCGATAACATGGAATGTACAATGTTATACCATAAGCGGTCTACTGAAGCATCTGTGTTTAAGTTCGGAATGTATCATATTCGTATCGTACGTTATTATATTATATACATATAAATCCGAATCAGTTATTCTGGTATAGCCCAAGGCGTTTGTTTGTTTGTTGGCTGTCAACATATATCAGGGCAAAACCATACATCGATAACGTCGTTCCAGTTTTTACGTTACCGCGTTTTCGCAGTTGTGATGAGATGGGCTATACATGTCGCGCTTGCTCACCACCCGCGGGACCACCGTTGTTCCCTGAATTGCTCGATACTTTACAGTATATCGTGATTTTACACAACAAAACATAACAACCACGACAAAACATGTGTTTGTGAAGTTTGATGTGTTTACTTTTCTCTCAAAGACGGTATGTGTTGCGCATTTGCGCGACATCTGCGGCACCTATCATGCATCCTTGGACGGATACGTTTTGCCTCAGGGCTCGCGCGTTGCATCTCAGCACTATCCACAACTTACACCGAACGATGATTTCTGGTTTGTTGTGCGTGCCCTTTCCCATTGATGCGGTGACGCCCTGCTCGGGCGGGTCCATCAATCTGGCCATTCGTCCCCGAAGCGTTGACAATCGTCTATGGAAAGATATCTCAGGTTGTTTGTGCAAGTTGAGAACGTGTATTGGATTCATGACTTTGCAACTCCAGATTTGGAGCTCTATGGGGCAAATGTGGGGGATAGCTGTCTTGACCACATCGAATAGAGATTTCGATGAAACGCCTGCATCGTCGCACGTGCGGCTGAGCTCCCGAACGTTCGGGCCAAGTATGTCGAACATCCTGTTGTCTGGGACGTATATGTATACTGTACACCCTAACTAAATCAACAGGTATACAGCTCCGAACACCCCCACCCCAAATATACGATTTTTGAGAGATGGCCGAAGGCATGTACGTACGAATTCATCAGTTCGGAAGTAAGACCGACCAGGGCCATGCAATCGCGCATCCAATCGGTGTGGTAGCCGAAGTTAACGTTATTCAAGGCGTTGCTCCTGCGGACCTCGTTAGTGGTCCGCCCCAAGCGTCCCACAATAAATTTGTGACTTTCCCTTCCGAAGCCAATTTTGTTAAAGACAAAGGCCTACCACTCGCACGCAGTAAACTTAAGATTGTGAGTCCGCCGGGATACGAGCCACGAGCGATACAACCTTGCGCAACATACTAGGGATTGGGTCCACAGACACGTCCGTATTGTGTATCTGGAACATACTGAGCACGTCACGAATATTGAAAGACGTGTTGAATATCCCAAAAACCGTTGGGATTCGTTTGTTGTTGTGCTCCTCTTCATTGCGCAACAAAGGTGTCAGATCGAACCGATGATCAAACCGCCGCCGCACGTTATTGCCATGTAGTTAAGATATTCGTCTTCTTTCCCGCGCACACGTCTCTCTACCCATGAAGCAACCCAAAAATCAGCTGCCAGCAGGCACAGCCCGCCGAACTTTGTAACAGGCATTTGCCGAATCACATTTAAAAGATGACGCTTTGGTTGGCCACTCAAAACGTCTGTGCAAGTGCTCCTTGCGTTATTCGCTGCATCGCTGGCTTTTCTTTCGCCGTGAATCCTCAAAATAGTAACGTTCTCGAACTGACCACGCATTTTAATAACATCTGAACTTACCATTGTAAGTGGGGAGCGGACGTACAACAACTCGATGGCGACACAAACAGTGCGTCGTTGGCACCGCCGTCTGAGCCAGTACCCTGGCACATGTCAGATATATTATATGTATATATACACATATCTATTCCGCCTCGTCCTTTTCCTCTGTGTCCTCCTCCTCCGTATCTTCCTCCTCGTCTCTCTCCCTCTACTCATATGATCCTTCCTTATTCCTTTCCTCTCCATGCCTCCTCCTCCTCCTCCTCTGGTTCCCTTTGGGTCATCCTATACGATGCGTTCTCCACTTCGCATGCAATAATTGCCTTCCTTCTCCTTACCTCCTCCTCCTCCTCCTCTGGTTTCCCCGGGGTCTTCCTATATGATGATTTCTCAATGTCGCATGCAATCATACCCTTTCGGGCTTCCACGATTGCTGCTCTCGGCCCCGCGATACACCTGCTATGGAGTATTCGTTTGCTCTTGCAACGCCGTTGCTAGCCTCTCACAGGAACCAAGAAATCAGCGTCCTATCCCATTAGACCACCCCTATTTCAACACCCAGGGGGGTCTAACATTGGGGCCGATTTTTTTTACACAGTATGTAGCCCGCCTCCCACCCCCCTTTCTGGACCCCCGTCTTGGTTTCAAAATCTTCTTCGTGCGTGTAGTCTGCTTGATGTTCGCTTAGCGAACTGGTTCTGGACGGCCCGGTGCGAACGCGCGGGGCATTAACGCAGCGGAAGTTTCAGAAGTTTCAAAGGTGTCCAAGCCATCGGCCCTTCGAAGTCTTCAAAAGTTTCAACAGTGTCAAAATATTCAAAAGTTTCAAAAGGATTTTGACCCGAACGACGCCGAGCCCCAACAAGAAAAACGTGTGGTTTCCCCAAGAAGTCGCAAGAGCGCGAGCGCACGCTTTCTTGAAAACTGATGTTGCGAAACCATGTGTTTTTTTATAGGTGTTTTGGACATTCGGTTTTGACATCGCTTCGAAACCAGTTTTTTTTGACATCGCTCATTCCGGCATGCGCGCGCGACGACGCGCGCGTGTGCATTTCGCCACATTTATTCCCAAAGAGTTCTCGCGACGGCACGCGCGCAAGAGCTTTCACACGATTTCGACACGCGAGCGTGCGAAACCCGGTTGGCAATATTTCTGGAAATGATGAACAATTTGTTCCTTACAAAAAAGCGCGCAAGTTTGTGTTGAACATTTTCCTTGCGAAGCCTTGTGTTTTTGTATGTTGTTTGGACACTCGATTTCTAATCCCTCGGAATCCTAAGATGTTGAAATGATGTCGACGCGCGCGAAGCCCGCTTGGTCGCATGCATTTGAGTGTATTTGTACTTATGGTTTTGGCAAGATCGCGCGCACGCGTGTCTTGAACATCCAACGTCGTATCTTTATATGTTTATTTTGACACTTGCTTTTTACATCCTTTCGAAACCGACGGTTTTGAATGAACTCGGCATTCGCGCGCGACCACGCGCGCGTGCGCACGTCGTCGAATTTTCGGCAAGGGATTTTCGAACAGCCTTGAACTTTGGGAAACGAGTGGGCGCGCATAGTATATTTTGCAGAGGATGGCGGGGGGGTGGCGATATCGGTTAGGCTGGGACGGTACGAAGTCATATTCAGGATGGGCGCTGGGGCAGGACCGTATGTACACTACAGTACGAAGAGGGAGAGCGATACTCCCGGGGCGGGTAGAATCTATTCTCTTTCTTAGGAATGCTAATCCAGGTATGCGACGGCGACGGCGGCGACGGGTGGCCCCACCCGCAAAAGCCGCCAATCGCCCCGAGCGGCGGCGACGGCGACGGCGGCGACGGCGGCGACGGGCGGCACCGCCCGCAGAAGCCGCCAATCGGCCCGAGCGGCGGCGACGGCGACGACGGCGACGGCGGCGACGGGCGGCACCGCCTGCAGAAGCCGCCACTCGCCCCGAGCGGCGGCGACGGCGACGACGGCGACGGGCGGCACCGCCCGCAAAGGCCGCCAATCGGCCCGAGCGGCGGCGACGGCGACGGCGACGGCGGCGACGGGCGGCATCGCCTCCCGTGGCGCCCCTTTCCGCGCCCTCTTGGGGCAAGGGCCTGGGGAGCGCCTGCCAGTTTTGGGCGGCCTGCACTATGAGTGTCGGTCTGTTGTTCGGTCCTTCTTCCCTTCTCGTTTCTCCTCATCCGCACGCCGTGCTTTGCAAACACATTCAAACTCGGTCGCTTCCTCCGACCCTTTCTCCCATTCCTCTTCACTGTCACTCTTTCCTACTCCCATCCCGCATCCCCTTCCTTTTCACTCCTCGGCCCCCCACCCCCCTCTGCGCTTCCTCCTGTTGTCCGTCCGTCTCCCCGCCTGTTCCAGTCGCCTTCATGCCTCTGTACCCTTTGTCTTCATTCCTCGCGACTCACTAGGTGACGCAGGTCCTGGTAACATTTTCCAATCCTGTGCGAGTCGCCTTCGTTCATCTTTTCACCTTCCTCTTCACTCCTCGCGACTCCCTAGGTGACGCAGGACGTGGTTAAGTTCTCCAAGCTGAAGGCCCGACAGACAAGAGCATGGGAAAGGGCAGGGGGGTGCGGAAGCGGTGATGATTGACGATCGCTATCAGAGTATAAATCAATCGCCTTGGTGTGGCATGGGACAGGGGGGACTTTGCTGCCGGCACGAACGCCTCGGACAATCCCATTGTGCTGCCTCCCGCATCCGCCAGCGCGGTGTGCACATCGCCCATCACACATGTTTGAACGTGTACCCTGTGAATGGCACTAGGGCGTATCGCTCCCTCCGTTCTACGTCGATGTATGTGCCCGTCGACAGTTGATTTCGTTATTCCAGATCCCGATGCACATTTTTGCGCCTTGCCATTTCAGCCGTTGACAGACATCTGTTTTTTCCTGCGCAGACAGCGGGAAGACCGCAATCAAATCTACATAGTGGTTCTACCCGCTTCTTCCGAAGGACCCATCGGCGAGCGTATTTAGGGATCGCCCATTCTAGAGTCTGCGCGCTGCACCGTTACACGCACTACATGGGCTAACCGCTAGCATCACAGTTCGCTTTCACATCGGCACTGATACAGGGGATCAGCACCCACAGGCTGATCCCACCAGCGTGCCAGAGCCTTGACTCCAACGTCAGGCCATACCGTACTAACAGCACCAGCTAGCATTAAGTCGGGCCTGTCTTTCGTATACAGGAGGAATATTCAAATTGGTCAAAAATAGTCAGGGGACTATTTTTCCCCCTATTTTGGACCATTTTGAAGTATTGTTTGACTATTTCTGTTTTGTTCGTCCAAAATCCCCCTGTAGGAGGACAGGCCCGACTTAAAGCTAGCACCCAACGGGGTCCGTCTGAATCGCCTTCGAGAGCACGCCCGGCTGCCTCTGGGTTATTTGTGCAAGTTCGGAGTCTGGTTTTCAAGCAGTGGCGAAGCGTCCTGGCTTGCTTATGGGCCAACCAAACAATGTTCTCACAACCTTTTGTGGTTTCCACGGAATATTCTTGGAACATTTCTGGCGGAGCCTGTCTTGTGTCAACACATCGGGTTTATGGTTTGAGAACATTGCTTGGTGCTCTTAGAACATGCTTGGGTTCTGAGAACAGTCCGTGGTAGGACTGTAGGAATGCCGGGACGGTCGGTCCCTGCGCAAGAGTTTGGTCTTCGGGCATCTGGCGCCGAATCGACGCTGTGTTGGGCAGCGTCGGAGGCCCTCTCGAGCAGTCCTGGCGTCTGGAAGGCAGCGCTGCGCAGGGCGTGGGGGCCGGCGGTGGCCGCAGCGGGAGGGCCAGTGGGAAGCTCTCGGGTCAGGAGCGAAAGAAGGACGTATGTACATGAATCCACGCTGCTTTCGAGAGCACGCACTGCACAAATGTTCGTATAACGCGGCCGGTCTCGCGAATCGAGGGGCCGTGTTCATGGACATAGCTGGGCGCGTACATCCTTTGTGGGCTCCCTATTGGGAGAGGCCCAGAGTTCGGAGAGTCCGGCACGCCGAGCACGCTCGTGATGAATCGACGGGGGGGCGGCGGATCGAAGACGCCTAGGGCACTTCCCCGCCGCTACCGTGGGAAGCTCTCGGGAGAGGCCCAGAGTTCGGAGAGTCCGGCACGCCGAGCACGCTCGTGATGAGTCGACGGGGGGGCGGCGGATCGAAGACGCCTAGGGCACTTCCCCGCCGCTACCCTGCACTTGCGATGTCCGAGGCACCCGTGGCCGATGACCGACGTAGAATTCGTCCGGCCGCTGTTGAAACGGCTTGCCCGTAGCCTCGTGAGGACGACACGGGGAAGGAAAAGGGGTCGGACCCAACCTGTTCCAAGTATACCCACAAGCTGTTTTGGGGCTCGTTAGAGGCTCTCTTAGGTATGCGATGCGCTTTCTTGGGCAATCTAGGGGGCCTTGTGGGCCGTCTTGGGGCTGCATTGATTTGGCCATCGGAGCCGTCTTCCGGGTGTCTCAGGTGCCCTCTTTGGGTCCTCAGGGGGCCCTTGGGTTTTTTAGTGCCATATCGGGTGGTCTTGGAGACCTCAAGAGGCCGTCTTGATACTCGTTCGGGCCAGTCGTGGGGCGATCTCGAGAGTACGTTGGGCCGTCTTTGGCGTTATGAGGTCCATATCGGTGGGCACATGAACGTTCCTAAGGCATCTGCAGGTATTTGATGGTGCATGCGTGTGTGTGTGTGTGTGTGTGTGTGTGTGTGTGTGTGTGTGTGTGTGTGTGTGTGCGTGTAAGGGTGCGGGTGTGCGTGTGCGTGTGTGTGCGGGTGCGGGTGCGGGTGTGCGTGTGCGTGCGTGCGTGCGTGCGTGCGTGTGTGTGTGTGTGCCTCTTAGAGGTCCTCTTGGGGTCCTCTTGGAGCGTCTTGGGGCTTTGGCGGTCCGTGGGCACTCTTTTGGGGGAAGGGCGGAAGGCGGAAGGGCTGCTGACACCCCTCGATTTCCGAGGAAGTGCGAACATGGATTCAGGCGCGCGGGTTAGCGAGGGGACGCGCTTCCATGCAAAATGGGCGCGCTCCGTAGCCCAAATCAGGCGGCAATGTTCGCGCTTCCATGCAACATGGGCGCATTCCGTAGCCCAAATCAGGCGGCAATGTTCGCGCTTCCATGCAACATGGGCGCGCTCCGTAGCCCAAATCAGGCGGCGATTTTCTGGCGCCGACGCGCCATTTTAGCGTGTGGTTGAAGGTTCCCCCCGTGAGGGCATCTTGGGCCCCTCCTGGATGCTCGGGGGCCGCCCTGGGGCGATCTTGGAGGTCTCTCGGCGCCTGGGACGCTCTGAGAGCCAACAAACTTGATATTTGCACCGCTTCGACGGGCCTGATTCCAGCCACTGTGTCGTATATGTATACCTATACGACCACCCGTCGGGTGAAAGGAGGTTGGGAGGTGTGGGGGAAAGAACCAGCTGCTGGCGAATGCAATGGGTGTGATGACGATGCTGATGACGCGCTCTCGAGTGTGCGACGGAGCGTGATGACGATGTTGTGACGCGATGTAATGTCGCAATCATCCCTGCCTTCGATCGCCCTAATGACCTCACGGCCAGTCTTAGTACCAATGGATTCAGCGATCGATCCCACTGTGCTCGCCCCAGGTGAGATCGCTTGTCCCCGCGAGATCCGTACGACCCAGGGGACGTCGCCCTCCCTGCGCATCCGACAGCGCGAGCACAACCGATGGCACAGGCAACCTCACTGTCGATCTCACTTTTGATTTCACCATCCATCCCATATCTCATTCTCGATCTCACTATTGGTTTCGCTATCGATACCAAGGCGGGACCCCCCCCCTTCCACCGCCCGCCCACCGCCGACGGAACACCGGCGGGACACGAACGGGACACCAACGGGTCACCACGGCAGGACACCCTGGGCCATCGCGCGCCCACCGGGGTTGGAGGGGCGGTCCACTGCATCCGAATCGCCCTAGCGACGGCGGGGTCATTTCTCTCGCGCGCCAACGCAGCGCTGCCTCGCCCGCATGCGCGGCACGAACACGAAATGGAAACCGGTTTGCCGGTGGGTGGCTCTCCGTTCTTCTGCGATCTCACCCCCCAACCTCTGACGCTTGTGTATTGCAGGGAGACGGATGTTGTCGCCGATTGAGGCCCTTGCGTGCATAAGTTTGGGTGTTGTGTCCCTGGCGGCACTGGCCAGAGACGAGTGGACAGAGTTTGGCAGATCCGACGGGAGGCTTCCCACCGAGACCGCAGGAGGAGGATGAGGAGAGCAGATGGCTTAGATAGCGCACCAATCCTCGCGTCGCTGTGTCACTTTGGGCGACGTGGAAATCCTGCATTACGGTTGCGACGAGAGAGTGGACAAAGTCCGTCTGGCCGAGAAGGACGAGCTCGAGGGCAAGCAGAAGAGATCCATGAAGTACCGCTCCGAGGACGAGCCGAACAAGGCGAAGATCGATGCCGGGCGCGGCAGACTCGGCGGCCTCTTCTGCCGCTCCGAGGACGACTCGAACACGGCGAAGATCGATGCCGGGCGCGGCAATTTCGGCGGCTTATTGGTGCCGCCCCCTTCGTCTGCGCAGTGCCGCCCCGAGGACGAGCCGAACAGGGCGTTGCCCACGGCCGAGGTGTGGCGGCTTCGGCGGCTTCTCGGTGCCGCGGCCCCTCCGCCCGTGCAGTGCCGCTCGGAGGACGAGTCGAGCAGGGCGAGGAACGACGACAGCTGTTGCCACGAGCCCTGCTGTTAAGTCGGGCCTGTCCCCCTACAGCGGGATTAGCGAGAAAATTCTTAAACAGACCAAATTATCCCAGCGCGACCCTACCTAGCAGTTGGAGCCCCTAGGAAAGCAGCACAAGCTAAGCTAAGCTAAGCTAAGCTAAGATAGCTACGCTAAGCTAAGCTAAGCTGAAATAAGCTAAGCTAAGCTAAGCTGCGGTAAGCTAAGCTAAGCTAAGCTAAGCTAATTTGCGATAAGCTAAGTTAAGCGAAGCTAAGCTAAGCTAAACTACGCTAAGCTAAGCTAGGCTAAGCTAAACTAAGCTAAGCTAAGCTAGGCTAAGCTGAGCTAAACTAAGCTAAGATTAGACAAGCAACGCTAAGCTAAGGTCAGCTGAGGTCAGGTAAGCTAAGCTAGGCTAAGCTAGGCTAGACTAAGCTAAACTAAGATCAGATAAGCTAAGCTGAGCTGAGCTAAGCTAAGCTGAGGTAAGGTAAGTTAATCTAAGCTAAGCTAAGCTAGGGGAACCCAGGGGGCGCAACTGGGGGAACCGCGGGGCGGGGACTGGGGGAACCGCCCGGGGCGCTTTCCACTGCCCGGCCCCTTTAAGCTTGAGAGTAAGAACCCTTCTAGGCAGAGCCTAGGTAGGGAACTAATCAAAACATAGTACAAAAATAGTCTGGGGATTCTTTCTGGTTGTTTTTATCCTTTTTGGTGTATGTTTGCGGTATTTTCTATTTTTCGTCGAAAATCCCCCTGTAGCGGGACATGCCCGACATAAAGCTGTTGCCACGAGCCCTGCTGCTTCGCCCTGCGCAACCAGCCAAGCAGTGGCGAAGCGTCCCGGCTTGCCTATAGCCCCACCACACAATGTTTCTGAGAACTTTTTTGGTTCCCACGAAATGTGCTCAGAACATTTATGGCTGGGACTGTCTTGCTTTAACACATCGGGTCTGTGTTCTAAGAACATTGTTTATGTTCTTAGAACATTTTTGGGGTTCTAAGAACATTTCGTGGCAAGACTATAGGAATGCCGGGCGGTCGGTCCCTGCTCAAAACAGTGTGCAGGAGGAGCAGCCCAAGGTGCGTGGGTGGAAGCTGGCTCCCATCAGCTCCCGAGGCATGGCAGGCGCCTCGTCAGAGTCGCCGAGGCCACACTCCAGCAGGAAGTGTTCCCGTGGTGGCTCATCACACGCGAAACCCACACCACTCGCCAAGGACAAGAATGGCAAGCAGAGGACCACGCAGTGCTCATCTGATTTCGGTCTTCAGTGTCCCGCTATGTTCGCCAGTCTGCTCTGCTGATCGCGCCCCAGCTGCATTGACTTGGACGTCTCTTTTTGCCCTCTTCCCGCCTCTTGTCTGCTTGCCCTCTTCTCGTCTGTCCTCTTCTCGTTTCTTGGCCGCCTGCCCTCGTCTTGTGTCTTACCGCTACTGGGAGTCCTGATCATGAACATCATCATCGCAGTCATCATAATCATCTTCATCATCGTCGTCGTCGTCATCGTCATCGTCATCATCATCGCCAGCATCATCGCTATCCTCATTATCATCAGCACCACCATCATCATCATCGTCTTCATCACCATCACCATCGTCGTCGTCATCGTCATCGTCATCGTCATCGTCATCGTCATCAACAGTAGTAGCAGCATCATCGTCATCGTCATCATCATCATCAGCAGCATCATCAGCATCATCATACTTACCATCATCATCATCATACCCATCATCATCGTCTTCATCGTCATTGCCATCGTCATGATCGTCGTCATCCTCATCATCAGCATCATATTCCTATTTTTTTAAACACGCATACATTGTCCTCAACTGCCTTGTCGTCTTCGTGCTCGTCGGCCTTCTCACCCCTGCTCTTTCGTGGTCGTCGGTAGTCATCGTATCGGTCCATTCCTCCTCCGCCTCCCCCTCCTCCTCCTCCTCCTCCTCCTCCTGCTCCTCCTCTCCCTCCTCCTGCCACTCCTCCGCCTCCCCCTCCTTCCAGGAGGGGAGGCGGCGCAAAAAATCTGCGCTACAGCACGCCAGCAACGTGGTCGAGAAGTGCTTCGAGGTGGCCACGGCGGGCGGGAACGAAGACCTCGAGAAGGAGCGCACGGCGCTGTTCGAGAGCGTGCCGCCTCCGGGGGAGCGGGGGGCAGCGGCGTGAGCGTTTCCGGGGTCATCGCGTGAGCGCCTTTGGTGGCTCGGGGGCGGCAAAGAGGGGGGTGACGACTAGGGCCATGATGTCTCCCCAGATGTCATGGCGCCTCTTCTTCTTTTATGACGTCCTTGGCCCCCCCCCTTGGGCCGCGCACGTGCCGCTGGTCATGATTTGCACACCTCCCTCTTGGACGCCCGCCTCTTGGCCGCCCCCGAGTGGCATGGTGGCATGTTGTTGTGTGAGCCGTCAGGGGACGGCCGCTGTTTTTTGAGTTTGCTTCGAAGAAGAACAAACGCCATACACATGAATTTTGGGCGCTCCGCGAAGATTTCTTGGATCCGCGCTGAGCCTCCCTGGCGGCGCCTCCGGCGCCGCCCCTGGCGCGAGGGAGGTCCATCGCAGATCCAAGAAGCCCGCGCGGAGCGCCAAAAGTTTATGTTTGTGTTTATGGTTTTGTTATGTTCTTCCAACGGTGGCATTTTTTTGGGTAGCCCGTCAGGGGACGGTCTCTGTTTTTGAGCTTGTTGGGGGAGAGGAGAGGAGGAGGGCCATCCAGTTCATGTCCAAAGTATTTTCTAACCATTGTGCTGCCCAGCGCGCCCGAACTTCATGATTCATTCATTTTTAGTTCGTGTGCTTACATCTGTCGCTGCGATGCGTAGTGCCAAGCTCATTGTCTAGTCCATGGCCTGTCACAGTTGGTGATCAGAGGCGGCTGAAAGAGGGACCGATCAGACCGATGCAGTTGGGCGGGAGACTCGGGGCAGCAGCAGCGACGCTCCGAGTGGCCCCATGGGCGAGGCCGCACCCCAGAGCCGCTAATTGCCGAGTGCCAGGGGACTGCACGGCTCAGATGATACTGTGATTGCTGCCTCTCGTCGCCCCTCCTCCTCTCTATGATTCTATCCTCGGGGCCTCGCAAGGGGGGGGGGGCACAGGGGGGAGTCGGTCCGTTGGCGCATCGAACCGCAGAAAAACTATGCATAGTAACGAGGTCTCCGGCCGCCACTGGAACCCGAGAGGTGTCGACAATGTGGGCGCGCGGAGGGTATCGTTTTTCTGGAATTCGATGCACCAGCGGATCGAACTCCCCCCCCCCCTCAGGGTCCCCCCCCTTTGGTGGACGCCGATATCTCCCTCCCCATTCCATCCTCCGCTACTGCTTTGGCTTCCTCCTCCCGTCTTCTCTCCCCCCTCTGCCTCCTCATTCCTGCTCCCTGATCCCCAACGCGTCCCTGCAAAGCCTGCTCCTGTAGAGTCCGTCTGATCCTCGGAGTTGCCGATGCCGCTGTTTACAATCGGACCGAGGTTTAAGATCGAGGTCGGTTCGGGGGAGGGTACCCTCATGATCTCCGTGTTTGCTGGATGTTCTTGCGTTTCCTGGGGGAGGGAACCCTTGGATGTTCTGTGTGTTTTGTCCGATGGAGGGTTTCATGTTCTTGAATGATGTTTTTTTGGTCTAGGTCCGACTGTCTAGGAGGAGGGAGGAGGGAGGGCTCAATTACACGTCGGTCGTTGAAAATATGTATTTCTGGTTTCCCAGATTTCAGTCTACTTCAAGCGCCTTCCTACTTCAATGATCGATCTGCTATTGCTGCGCATTGTTATCTGTGAGGGCTTCTCCCCCTGCCGCTGGCCCCCTCTCTATCAGAATAGGATATATCAGAATCGCGTCGGTGCGTCTCGGCGCTGCCTTGGCGCATCTGGGCACATCATTCGGAGGCGGATTTGAATCATCAGCGTGTGTTGAGACATTGGCGGTATCGAAGACGCCTACGGCGAATCACCGCCGCCCACTGCCTTTTTGGAAACGCCGATGTGGCCGAACGTTGTGGCCAGAGGCTTGCCAAGCTATCGGATCATGTGTTCACCGAATTGATTTGGAAAGCCTTCGGGGAACACGGTGGGCGAGGCTGGGCCGACTTGGGCCTTTCTTGGGGTGCTCCAGGGCCGTCTTGGAGGCCATCTTGAGCGTCTTGGAGGCCTCTTGGGCCGTCTTGGGGGCCTCTTGGGGCCGTCTTGGGGGCATATTGGGCCGTTTTGGGGCAATATTGGAGACCTCTTGGGCGATCTTTGGGGGCTCTTGGGCTATCTCGGGCCGTCGGAAGGCAGACAAGAAGCACATGTCAAAATCTGTCCGACAAATATGGGAACTCGGTGTTTTTTTATTGTTTCGGACCTTCCTGGAGGCCCTCTTGGAGGCCTCTTGGGCCGTATTGGGCCATCTTAGGGCCATGTTCGGCCGTCGTGGTGGGCGCTTGGTCCGTCTGACGCCGTCGGAAGCCGTTTGGGGGGGCCTCTATGGGCCGACTTGGGGCCCTCTTGGAATGCTCCAGGGCAGTCTTGGAGGCCATCTTGGGCGTCTTAAAAGGCCTCCTGTGCCGTCTTGGGGGCCTCTTGGGGCCATCTTGGGCCCTCTTGGGCCGTTCTGGTGCCATCTTGGAGGCCTCTTGTGCGAGCTTTCGGGGATCTTTGGGAGCTCTTGGGCCGTCTCGGGCCGTCGGAAGGCCGAAAAGAAGCAAATGTCAAAATCCGTCAGAACCTAAGGGAAATCAAGGTGTTCGGCCTCTTCTGGCCTTCCTGGAGGCTCTCTTGGAGGCCTGTTGGGCAGTCTTGGACCAGCTTCGAGCCAACTTCGGCCACCTTGGTGGATTCCTGGCACGTCTGACGCCGTCGGGAGCCGTCTTGGGAGCCTTTCTGGGCCGACTTGGGGCCCTCTTGGGGCGCTTCGGGGCCGTCTTGGAGGCCATCGTGGGTGCCTTGGAGGCCATCTTGGGCGTGTTGGAGGCCTCTTGGGCAGTATTGGGGCTCTCTTGGGGCCCTCTTGGAGGCCACTTGGCCTCTTGGGGGCCTTCTTGGGGGCCGTCTTGGGGGTCGTCGGAGCCGTCGGAAAGCCGAAAACGCGCAAATGCCAAAATCTTTCAACAACCAAAACAATATTGAATCGCTTCGCTCATTCCGCCGGCCCGTGATATGGCATCGCTGGTTTTTGTCTGTGTGTTCGTTGCCCATGTTGCGCTCTTGGGGGCGGGTGTCGTTCGGACGCGTTGCGTGGGGAGTTTTGATGGTGAAGCAGTTCCCTGGGGGTCGTCTCTCGATGGGGCGAAATAGAGTCGTCGTCAAGATGCTTCTTTGGGGGGCCTCTTGGGGTCTGTTGAGAGGCCGTTCGGGGGCGCCTGGGAGACATGTTTGAAGCCTTCTGGGGCTTCTTTTGGGCCTCCTGGGAGTCTCCTGGGGCCTCTTGGCGACATCTTGGGGCCTCTTGGAGGCCTCTTGGGGCCTCTTTGGGACCTCCTGGGCGCCTTCTGGGACGGAGGGCTCCATTTTTGAGTTCTCGGTATCCCTCCTGAGTCCCTCTTGGGCCCGTCTTGGGGCCTCTTGGTCCGTCTTGGGCGGCACTTGGGCCGTCTTGAGGGCTCTCTTGGGTCGTTTCGGCGCCGTCTTGGGAGCTTCGTGGGCCGTCTTGGAGCGGTCTTGGGGGCCTCTTGGGCCGTCTTGGAGCGTCCGGAAGCCGAAAAAGCCAGAACACAAAAAACATAGAAAAAACCAATGAAAATCAACGATTTTGGCCTCTTGGGGCTCTCTTCGGAGGCCTCTTGGAAGGCTCTTGGGGCGTCTTGGAGGCCTCTTGGGCTGTCTTGGGGGCCTTTTGGGCCGTCTTGGGGTCATCTTCGGCGTCTTCGAGCGCTCTTTGGGCGTCTCGGGGGCCTCTTGGGCAGTCTTGGGGGCCTCTTGGGGCACTCTGAGCGCGCTCTGGGGAGCCTGAGAGGCCGCACCCAGAAGGAAAACCATCTCTGAGTAGACTTGGTCGGGCGGCGGTCGGGCGGCGACCGGGCGTTGGTCGGGGTACTTTTCGCCGGGGGACCCCCAGGGGCCGCCCCGCGCGCGCGAACTAGAAATACTGTTAATACTGTTAACCAGTTACCGGAGATCTTAGCACGCCCTGGCCCGTTGGGCCGGCGAATTTATTTTGGCCCTTTCGGGCCTTCCTGGAGGACCTCTCGGAGGCCTCTTGGGCCGCCTTGGAGGCCTCTTGGCCTTTCTTGGGCCATGTTGAGGCTATCTTAGGCCGTGCTGAGTGTATCTTGGCTCGTCTTGGAGGCATCTTGGAGCCATCTGAGCCGTCTTGGAAGCCATCTTGGCCGTCTTGGATGCATCGTGGAGACCATCTTGGGCCGCCTTGGAGCCGTCTGGAGCAGGAAAAACCGTTGGAACCAGGTTTTCGGAAATCTCCTGGGGTCCCAGCGGGACGGGCCGAAGCCCCAGGGGGAGTTCTTTTGGAAAAAGAAAAACATCCAAAACCGAGAGGGTATAACACGCCAGGTACCCCTTTGATGAATCGACAGGGGGCGGCGGATCGAAGACGCCTACGGCGAATCACCGCCGCCCCCTGCCTTTTTGAAAGCGCTTATGTGGCCGAACGTTGAGGCCAGACCTGCCAAGCTATCGGACCAGGTGTTCCCCGAATCGGTTTGGAAAGCCTTCGGGGAACACGTGGGCATCGTGAAGGTCATCTTGGCCGTCTGGAGGCCATTTTGACTCTTTCGGGCCTTCTTGGAGGACGTCTTGGAGGGCTCTTGGGCCGTCTTGGAGGCCATCTTGAGCGTCTTGGAGGCCTCTTGGGCCGCCTTGGGCCTCTTGGGGCCGTGTCTTGGGCCTCTTGGGCGATCTTTGGGGGCAGTTGGGCCGTCTCGGGCCGTCGGAAGTCAGAAACAAACAAATGCCACACTCCTTCAAAAACCCATGGGAAATCAATGAATTTTGCCTTTTCGGGCCTTCCTGGAGGCCCTCTTGGGGGCCTCTTGGGCTGTCTTGGGCCAGCTTCGTGGGCTCCTGTCCTGGTCCGTCTGACGCCGTCGGAAGCCGTTTGGGGGGCCTCTATGGGCCGACTTGGGGCCCTCTTGGAATGCTCCAGGGCAGTCTTGGAGGCCATCTTGGGCGTCTTAAAGGCCTCCTGTGCCGTCTTGGGG